TATGTAATAAAAGATGATATTATATTCAAATGGGCCTCTTGCTGCTTTCTTGTATGATTTTCATGTAGCAGTTATAACCTCAAGCGGAAAATTGGGCTCTTTTTCTTGACATCAAGGATCTCATCTCCATTCCGGCTATGTTTTCGCAACTTTCTTACCATTGCCCACGTTGCCCAGAGGCTAGGCAAGTTCTACCCTGTCTCTCGATCAGAAAACATCAAGACTAGTTTGACAAGAATCCAGGGGCTACCACATTACAAGTGCAAGGTGTTCCTGGACGAACCAGCATAGTTAAAAGAAATAGTAGGAACTGCCGATGCTGGAGAATCTGAGATAACATGGTGTAGAGCTGGATGAACACAGCAGGCCAAGCAGCACCAGAGGAGCAGGAAAGCTGACGTTAGGGGTTAAGACCCTTTTTCCTGAAGAAGGGTCTCGACCCGAAACGCCAGCTTTCCTGCTCCTCTGATGCTGCTTGGCCTGCTGTGTTCATCCAGCTCTACACCGTGTTATCTAGTTAAAAGAAAGGCAGGTTTACAGACAAACAATGGCTGAGGTTCATCAAAAAGTCTGTGAACTAAACAATACATGGTGGCCAGAAAATTCAGCTACTGACAGCCATTACACATATGGATCCTTCAGTGCAGTCAACACCATGTATGGCTCAAGCACCCAAGGATCTCTTCCACTGGGAACTAAGAAAGTAAGTGGAACTGAAGGACACAGAGGCAGTCAGAACTCTTCAGAAGTACTTTGTGCGTCTTAACCATTACTCAGGTCTCAATGGAGTAATTTTGGCCACATCCTGCAGCATGTTACCTACCACCACCTCAGTTCAATCCTAGCCTAAAATAAGGTTGAAAAGGTTGCCTGACGTCAGAGAACCAACAATGCTGCCAGAATAGATGGAATGCTCATTGAATTACAGCAGTAGAGCACTCTTGCCACAAGACATGGCCATACCTTCCTCATCGGGAAGGAGGAGACCATTCCAGTGTACCTTAGAGACACCATAACTATGGCCATCTTCAAGAAGGACAAGACCAATTGAGGCAACTAGAGGGATCGTCCTGTTGTGTGTGACGGAAATTTGTTTTATTTTATTCTCTCTTGATGTTAGCATCACTGCCTGAGCCAGCATTTATTGGCTGTACCTAGTTGCCCTTGAAGTGGTGGGGAGCTGCTTTCTTGAACCGCTGCAATCCAAGCACTGTAGGTAGACCCACAATGCCATTACGGAGGGAATTCCAGGGATTTGACCTAGCAACAGTGAAGAAGTGTCAATTTCATTCTAAGTCAGGATGGTGAGCGGCCTAAAGGCGAACTTGCAGATGACGGTGCTCCCACATATCGGTGCTGCCCTTGTCCTTCTAGATGGAAGTGGTCGTGGGTTTGGAAGATGCTAGGGACCTTTAGTGAATTTCTGCAATACATCATGTCGATAGTACACACTGCTGCTAATGAACATTAGTGGAGGGGGAAGTGGATGCTTGTGGATTTGGTGCCAAGCAAGCAGGCAGCTTGGTCCTGGTTAGTGTCAAGCTTCTTAAGAGTTGTCGGAGCTGCACCCATCCAGGCAAGTGGGGAATATTCTGTCACACTTCTCACTTGTGCCTTCTGGATGGTGGACAGGCTCTGGGCAGTCATGAGGGGAGTTACTTGCTGCAGTATTCCTAGCCTCTGACCTGCCCTTGTAGTCAAAGTATTTTTACTAAGAGTCCAATTCAGTTTCTGGTCAATGATAACCCCCAGGATGTTGGGTGAGTGGAATTCAGTGATCATAACACCATTGAATGTCAAGGGCTAGTAGTTAGTATCTTTTATTGGAGGTAGTCACTGCCTGGCATTTTGTGTGGCACAGATGTTAGTTGCCACTTTTCAGCCCAAATCTAGATACGACCCAAGTCTTGTTGCATTTGACCACGAACTGCTTCAATATCTGAGGAATTGCGAATCATGCTGAACATTTTGCCAAATGTTCGAACACATCTCCAATTTTGACCTATACAGAGGGAAGGATTAAACAACTAAAGATGGTTGGGTCTAGGACACTACCCAGAGGACCTTTTGCAGGGGTGTCCTGGAGTTAACAGACCTTCAACAACCATAACCATCTTTCTATTTTACAGGTATGACTCCAACCAGCAGAAACTTTTGCCCTTGATTCCCACTGACTCCAGTTCCTTGACGTTACAGCTAGTCAACTGCAGTCTTGATGTCAAGGGCTTTCATCTCTGGAATTCAGCTCTTTTGTCCATGTTTGAATGAAGGCAGTAATGAAGTCAAAAGCTGAGTGGCCCTGGCAGAACCCAAACAGGGTGAGAGTGAGCAGCTAGTTACTAAGCAAAAGCTGCTTGATAGCATTGATGACACCTTCCATCATTTTACTGATGATTGAGAGTAGACTGATGAGGTGGTAATTGGCCAGGATGGATTAGTCCTACTTTTTGTGCACAGATCATGCCTGGACAAATGTTCACATTTTTGAGTAGATGCTAGTGTTGTAGCTGCACTGAAATACCTTGGTTAGGGGTGCACAGGTTCTGGAGCAAAAGTGTTCAGTACTATTGCCAGAATGGTGTCAAGGCCCATAGCCTTAGCAGTATCCAGTGCCTCCAGCGTTACTTGGTATCATGTGGAGTGAATCAAATTGGCTGAAGATTAGCACATGTGAAGCCGGGGACTACTGGAGGAGGCCAAGAAGGATCATCCACTCAGCACTTGTAGCTGATGGTTGCAAATGCTTCATCCTTTTACACTGTATAAGGCTCTTCCATCATTGAGGATGGGGATATTTGTAGAACATCCTCCTCCAATGAGTTTTTAAATTGTCCATCACCATTCACAACTGGATGTGACAGAACGGTAGATTGTAGATCTGATCCATTGGTTGATCACTTATTTCTGTCTGTCACTTGCTACTTATGCTGTTTGGCATGGAAGTAGCCCTGGACGGTAGCTTCACCAGGCTGACACCTCATTTTTAGGTATGCCTAGTGCAGCTCGTAGCATGCCCTCCTGCACTCTTCATTGAGCCAGTGTTGATCCCCTGCTTGATGGTAATGATAGAGTTGGAGATATGCGGTGCCATGAATTGCAAATTGTGCTGGAGTACAATTCTGCTGCTGTTGATGGTCCACAGTGCCTCATAATGCCCAGTTGAGTCGCTAGATCTGTTCGAAGTCTGTCCCATTTAGCACAGTGATAGCGCCACACAACCCAATGGAGGGTATACTTGATGTGAAAATGGAACTTCTCTCCACAACAACAATACAGTAATCACTGTTACTAAGACTGTCTAGACAGATGAACCCGAAGCTGGCAGACTTGAGGGGATGAGGTCAAATATGTTTTTCCCTCCTGTTGGTTCCTTCATCTGCCACAGACCTAATCTCGCAGCTATGTCCTTTAGGACCCGAACAGCTCAATCAGTAGGACTGATGCCAAACCACTCTTGATGGTGGACATTGCAATCTTTCATGGAGTACACTTTGCATCCTTGCCACCCTCAGTGCTTACTCCAAGAGTTGTTCAAATGGAGAAGTTTTGATTCATCAACTAAGGAAGGACAGTACATGGCAATCAGGAGGTTTCCTTGTTCATATTCTGCCATAATGCCATGAGGCTTCATGGGTATGGAGTTAATGTCGAGGATGCCAAGAGCCACTTTCTTCTGACTATATCTCTATGCCACCATGTTTGCTGAATCTGTCCTGCCGGCGGGAGAGGACATAGCTATGGTATGGTGGTGTCTAAGGTACAATCATACCTTACAAAATGTCAGGCTGTTGCTTGTCTAGGCTGAGACAGTAGCCCCTGATATTAATGACGACTTTACAGGGTCCACAGGGCTGTTTATGCCATTGTCATCCTCAGATGCCAAGTTCATCTGGTTTGATTTCTTTGTGGAGCCTTCATAACAATTGAGTGACTTGCTAGGCCATTTCAAAGTTGTGAATCAACCCCATTGCTGTTTGTTGGAGTCACAGGTAGGTCAGACCAGGTAAGAACAGCAGATTTCCTTCCCTGAATGGCATTAACGAACGAGATGGGCTTTTCTGACAATTGGCAACAGTTTCATGGTCATCATTAGAATCTTAAATCCAGATATTTTATTGAATTCAATTTCCACCATCTGCTGCGATGGGATTTGAACCCAGGTCACCAGAATGTTAGCTGGGTTTCTGGGTTATAAATCTAGATAATACCACCAGGCTATCACATTCCCTAAAATTAGTTTCATTACAAAATTTCTCCTCAACCACCTTCTCTTGACCTTCTAATGGATTTACAATGTGGATTTCATCCATCAAGAGGTGAAATGGAAATGATTTTCACAGCAAGATAAATCCAAAATACTTCAAAAGAGCAGCAGAAACCTTTATACATGCCTTCTTCAAACTAGAGGAATTTTGGGAACTGCCCTCTAATTTGCTCACAGAAATGTGGCACTATTCTCTGCCTGCTGCATAACAACAAGCAAATCATGAGTCTCACCAAAGGATCCACCATGCTTGCAAACTGGAGTCAAGCACGTGGAGGCCAAACACAAATAGGGGAAGGAGCATGTGAAAACCAGAGCATCCCAATTACTTGGCTTTTCATAAATCTCCTATCAATTTGTGGCAGTTTATGGGAATCCAACATTGGGCTGTTTATTTACGTATGGACTCAACTCCAGAGTGGAAGAAAGTCAACCTCAGTCTCAACAGACTGCCCAAAAAGACTATTTTGTCGCCTCGAAATTTTGAAATCCATTTTCAAACGGAACTGAATTTAATAAACTTTAATACATATCCATCACCTGGAACTTTGATTATCCATGCCTTCAGCTGTCATGGCCTTTCACCCTGGAAATGCCTCCCATTTTGTACAGCATCAAAAAGGACTAATCCTGTGAAACATGTTTTTGCCATTTCTACAATGTTAAAGGTGCTGTACGAACACAGGCTACTTACTATTAATCAATCCATGAACATAATCTTTTGAGATGGCTGTGTTTTGAAGCAGTTTATTTTTAAACAATGTGCAAAAGATGGCCGTGTAATAATACAATAAAACATTACAGAATGGAACGAGATAACATTGCCTGATTAAGAGATAGACATGAGAGGATAGAAAATGAACAAAGCTGGAAATATTAATGGAAATAAAAATAGCATAACTTTGGATTTAATACTTTACAAGTTTGTTAGTGTGATATTACAGTACTTATTTGACATACATTTAATAATAGTATAAACTATAGCTGGGACAATAACTATGATGTAAATGTTTTCCAATGTGTTTTATGATGGCATCAACAGCTCATGTTCAAAATCATTGCATACCAGTATCAGCATAATCAAAAAATTCCATCTTTAAATTCTTATAACTGGAGTGAACATATTACTGTAGTAAAGGCTAGCTTAATGCGCACTGGAACGAAAAGTTAGCCCTGAAAATATCAAGTATGATTATTAAATTATTCACAATGATGTTCACACAAAAAAAAGAGCTTAATATCTCTCTCAAAAGGGTGCATATAAATTCGGTGTAAATATTAAAATGCTATTTGCTGAAGTAAAATGTGACAGCCTGCAAATAATGAGCAGGTAATATAATAGCAGCATAATTTAAAATATACGTATAAAGTTATTGCAGTGTGTTCTGGTACCTCAAAAATTCCAGTATTTCAAACTATAGAAACAAGGATTCAGATATTTCAAATTGACATTTTCTGGAAGTAGTCCATGAGCTAAGGCCAACAAACTTAAGAATCATGGTGTAAACAGCCAAACAGCCTACATAACATGCAGAACTCTTGAGGGCTCAGTACAATCATATTCACTTCTCAGTCAATTGCACTAATGTGCAAACTTTGTGAATTGTTGGCGAGACATTGGATGGAAACTGATTCCTTTGAAGGATTGAGATCTGTCAAATACTTTTTAAAAGTGCTAACTCATATGGAGAAATACAATTGTACCTTTGTCATCATTCTGGACCCAGTGGCTCTTCCTCATGGCTGAAGGACAACACAATTAACATTTTTTTAAAAAATCAATATGGCTTATAACAACAGTTCCTCTTATTTGCAAGTAGTTACTATTTGCAGTTGCTTAAATTACTTCAAAGCGACCTTTATCAAATAAAATCCCAGCCATGAAGGTTACAACCATTCTTACACATGATCAGGTACTGAGCTCTTAGCTCGGTGTCATCATTTTAACTGCAAAAGGACATCTGTAACTCAATAAGCTCAAGGCAATAGCTATTGTATAAAATGTTACACAATATTATTATAGTCTTCCAAAGCTCTACCTTCTCTAATAATGTTAATGTTTGACCAAAGACCATCTTTTCTGTTTTTAAAAAGATGTTTTCTTCAGGCATCACTGTACAATGGTTATTGCCAGTGTATTGGCTGTTCAGAAATATTTAAATGTACAAAATGCCACAAGTATTTGCACTTGTTCAATGCTCATAATGTTTCAGTCTCTGAACGACCTCAGTGGAAAATAAAACTGGCTAATAATGGTGTTCAATCTCCTTCATAAGGATGTGAGGTCTGTAGCAAGCATCTGGTTGCCAAGTTCGCAGATCAACGAGAACCTGATTCAGCTTCTGCATCCAGAGGTTGCGTTCATCCTTGGTATCAGCTGATAACCAGTTCCTGGAATAGGTGAGAAGGGAAAGGAAAGGAGCTGAAATTTTTGATTGGGTTAACAGAGTCATTAGAAAACATTAAAACAATACATCATTGTTAGATTCCTGAAATCCAATTCAAATAGATTTATATCCAATCACGTTTAGCTTTGGCCTTGTTCCTCTCCCCTGTGCTGATCTAATCAAATTTCCCTGACCCCACCCATTGCGGTATCTTTTCAACCCCCAGTTATGAAAAGCCAGCAGTTTATGTTCTGTTGTGGGGAAAATATCTAACCAATCAGTGTAGTCATAGTAAATTGAATATGGATAATAAGTTTAATTGCCTCTCAAATATAAAATCGGAATTACAATGGAGAATGAAAACAAAAAAAACTAGTAAAGTGCATGGCACATTGCAATAGTTAACTTCCAGGTATCATTGTTTAACAAATCAGTGGGACCTGGAATAATATTGCGTTAAAGAACGTTTCCAATAAATTCTGTGGCAAAGAATCTAGACTGAACTGAGGTTTACTCACATGTCCCCAATTCTATCTGTCCCAAATTTCTTTGCTTTGTCTCAGCGTACTTGCCAAACCAGATTATCCAGTTTCCTTTCAAGTACATACATCTCACATGCAGAACAAGCAGGCCTATTACACACCAGAAGTAAAACACCCCTACTAAAATAGAAGGTTTAAATGAACAACTAAACCTAATTCCCCTCGCATTTGCCTGTTGGGAATTTCATGGTAAACAGCAACATTATTGAAATCAGAAACTGAGAAGCAAGAATTGGAAACCATTGCCCCATCTCTCAATACAGTATTACTGTGAGATGTCCTCAAGTCAGGTTGAATTGTGACCTCATGACAAGTCAGTAACAAACAGAATAAAAGTAGGCTTGCTCTGCCATTCAGTTGGATCATGGCTGATCTGTACCTCAAGTCCACCTATCCATTTTAGTGTCAGATCACTTGACATGCTTACCTAATAAAAATGTTATGATCACTACTTAAATGCTTTAATTGCCTCAGGATCCACAACGTTTTGAAGAGAATTCCAGATTTCTACAATGCACTTGTGAGAAAAAAGTGGATTTTGGATTTCCATCTATTGCCTAGCTCTACCTTTCTGATTATACCACTTCATTCTGCATTCCCCTACCAGAAAAAAAAAAGTAGCTTTTTAAAATTAATTCACGGCATGAGGGCATCGCAGGTTAGTCCAACATTTATTGCTCGCCCCTAATTGCCCAGAGGGTAGTTAGGAGTCAATCACATTGCTGTCTGGATTCGCATGTAGGCCAGACCAGAACAGATAAGGATGACAGTTTCCTTCCCTAAAGAACATGAATGAACCAGATGGTTTTTCCAACAAACAGTGGATTCATGGTCATCATTAGACTCCTAATTTCAGATTCTTATTGAATTCAAATTCCACCATCTGCTGTGACAGGATTTGAACCTGAGTCCCTAGAACATTACCTGGGTCTCTGGATTAAGAGTCCAGTGGTAATGCCACTAGGCCGTTGCCTCCCCTTATTGACACATTTCCAATAAAATGCCCATTTAATTTTCAGCATCTGAAGTAGATCACTATTCAACACTGACTTAAAGGAATCTAAACCATTTCTATGTAATATGCCCTTATAATTTAACCCTTAAAGTTCAGGCATCATTCTAACAATGCATCCCAGAGATTAAGCAGGACATTACCAAGGCACTGAAACTTCATACAGAACTCTCCCCATCAAAAATATTCAAGACCCTGTTGCTTACTTGGTGACACAAAGAGTATTCTTGCACTGACTGACAAGAGTCTCTCTGTCATCTTCTCGTTGAGGTCTAACAGTGACAAGTTCCAATGTGTGGGGGCGAGCACAGAATTCACGATTAGCCGGTTCAATTTTCCTGCTTGTGCAATTAGCCAGGTTCAAACGGCCAAGTGGGTTCTGAAAGTAAAAACAGTTATGTTCAGTAAATCTTAAAAGCAAAAAAATCAGAAAAATGAAAGGAATTTGCTAAACTTTGGTGAAACAACAACAGGTGGGGCTAACTGAATAGCTCTGCCAGACAACCATGAGAGGTATAATAGGCTGAATGGTGTCCTCAATATTGTATACTTCTGGAGTTCACCATGTGCAATTCAGGCCATCAATAGTCAGGACGGAGGGGGACATTTATAGATAATCCAAAGCAGGCCAATAGTGTTGGGCGAATCAAACAATATTTTACCCCACTTACTCAGGAAATATTAGGGCAGGTGATCAAAAGCTTGGTTATAGGATTATATTTTAAGAAGAATCTTAAACCAGAAAAGAGGCATAGAGAAGCTGAAAAGCCCACTGAGGTCATTCCAGGCATGCACACCTGAAGGCCAGGGCACCAATGATCTAGGGAAGGAAATCAGGAAAGGGAGGAGACACAGAATTTTAAAATTGATGCACTGTTGAAGCTTTCTCATCTCCTTGCTATAATTTATTATTATCATAAATACCTAAATTAACCTGGCAAACTTAGCAAACAAATTACAATGGGAAATCCTCAAATCTGAAATGACTCAGGTACAAATGGAAATAATCTCAAAAGAAGAGAGAGCAAAGGATAAAATCAAAGAATAAAAATTAACTGATAACTAGAGGTGACATATGGCAAATCCTGCTTTTGTGCAACTCAGTAAGAAGCCACTTGATCTTATGTGCAGAAAAATGGTTTGCTGAGAAAAAGGCGTAAACTTTCAAAACTGAAAGCTTCTAAATTACATCTATTTGAATAAATATTCTGAGTTGATCATTTAAAACCATCCTCACATGACAATACCTTACTCAAATATTAAACTGTACAAAAACAGAAGGTAATAAAGCATTGATATTAGATCGGACTCGTCATAGAATTAAACAAAAGTGGTTAAAACACTGTAGGCAGGCATTCAGCCTTTGAATCGGTAGCTACATCATTTTGTTGGCACGATTTCAGTTTAATGAGCATACACAACAACCAATGCTCAAAACATAGCATAAATAGTTTCTGAATTTTGCAGAATTTGAGAAAATAAACAAGGAAAGCTAAAAAAGGGAAAGCAGATTTTCTGAAGCAGCACTCAAGGTACTCTGGGCATACTGTTCTACAGAAACATGTTCAGAAGTCTTTAAATTACATAACTTGGGAATTGAGAAAATGTTGTGTTCAACAAATCTGCAAGTAAGCAGGATGTATTCTCATTGCCCTGTTTATATCATAACCAATCTCTGAAATGCTGACATTGTTCCAAGTGACAGCAGGTGGATGATTCTGACCCTCAAGTCTCTTCTGCCAGTCAACGAGATGAGGGCTAGTCTGTATACAGTGAATGTCAGAAGTCAACTTCATGGTGGAATTAGCTGGAAGAAACTGCAAATTGTGCTCAAATGAGACGACAAATGTTCTCCACTGGTGTCAGTAACATGCTGCACTATCCAAAAGACCTGAACCCTGTTGTAGATGAGACTCAGTATAGAAACGGGACAGAGATTTGTAACTGTTCTGGATTTTGGATTTAAACCTTCCTTTGTGCAGTTGCCAAGCTATTAGCCTCCTCACTCCCAGCATTTAAATAAAAGGTGTGTACCCACTCCTAGATAACATCCAACATCAGAGCTGTAAATGATGTCAAGCATTTACAGGTTAGCTATTTCAAGCACAGAAGAAGGTTACTAATGTATGCGTTGCAGAAAAAAATACAAACAGCAAAGGGATAGCTAATTTGCATTGTTGATAGTGCATTTCAGATATTATTTTCTAACATTACGCTGATAGTTCTTATGTATCTACAAACCTTGCATTTCTCATCATCTGGATAAGTCCAATATGAGATGCAGTTCCCTGATAAGACACACCAGCGTCGATGCCAAGCTCCAAAACCACTCACATCATCAAACATGGTCTGCAATGAAAGAAATGTGTTGCATTTTACCACCTTCTATGCAACATTGGATCAGCTGTAAAAGCACTGGTTTGGTAACCTAAAAAAAGTCTTTACGACTCAGAATCGCATTCAAGTCTATCCTAATTCTAGTCTGTTTATTACACACTTTTATCACATTTTACAGTCAACATGCTGTATGTTTTATATTTCCTGAATAATAATTTTTTTGTATTAGCCATTTAGTTTCTAGAGAGCTAGGCCAGGCAGAAAAAGTTTATGATTTGACTTTCTTTCTGTCTAAAGAAACAAAATACAAAGTTAAACCTTGAGATTTTAAAACTTTGGTCATCGAACAGTCCTGTTCTACTGACCAATTTGTAAAGTGAGGCATTTCAACATAAAACAAACAAAACTTGTGTACTTGATTTTGTTCTGATCTTCGACAGGTATTCATTTGGAAGATGTCATGAAAGGTAAAATGGTGCTGTGATTCACCAACAGGGACCATGAGGGCCTGGTGAATGAGGTGGTCCACTGGAGGGCCAGCCTCTTCCCAGAGGACTAGCAGAGGAGGCCAGAGGTCACCACTTGGGCCAGTGCTGCATCTACAGTCCGGAAGAACAGCCAGCAGTACACCACAGTCAATGACCCCCTCTGCTCTGCCAGGATAAGTGCCACACCCTTCTCTCTGCTATCTCACATTCATCTACTTCTGCTACTGTACCCACCTCACACCAAGCCACAGACTTCCACTCATTAAAACATGCAACATCTTCCCTCACTTGCTCTCATTTCCACCAACTCCCCACTGTGTACTCACTTGCCTGGGAGACCTCACCATCCTTTGGCCACCTGCACCAGCACAAACAGAAATGCCAGTCACTTTAACCTCATTCAATCCCTCAATCTTTCCCATTACAGGAGAAAACACCCATAAACAGGGCAAAAAGAGCCACAGTGGAGGGTTGCCTGATATCAGTTGCCTCATCGTTTGTAGGATGAGGCCAGGATAGCTTCTCAGGAAACACAGAAATGTCCATGTCCTGGCTACAAAGAAAAGATCACTCTCACAGTAACCCTGCTGTCAGTGTGATTTATTAGGGATCACTTCTAAACACTAGCCACAACACCACCGCTCCTTGTTGACTTGCAGGTGCCAGCAGGATGCTCACAGCTCTGGTGAAGAAATAACTGCTCCATCAGAAAGCAGCTGTTCAAGCCCTGAGGAGGACACTCGGGGCCCTTGTAGGAAGTGTCAGCCTCCTGCATCCTTCCATCAGCTCATACAGCGCCACCTCAGCGGGAATGTCAGGTTTAGAACATTTAGGATTACAAGCTGGCGAGCACCTCACTGACAGCGCAACAGCTAGCCAAGGATGAAACACCCATGCCCCAGCACTTGGAGGACTGCCAGAGATCAGGTACCTGCTCAGCCCCAGGCTGAGGGGCCCCTGTGGTATCAATCATGGACTGTCCTTACTCAATGGAGGAATAGGAGCAGCAGACAGGTATGAGGCACAGCCCTCTCTATCCAGAGGTTGCATAACTGCAGTTATCCTATGGAGAAGATGTGGCTGCATCAAAACATGTGATCATCTGGTGCAAACATACATTTCATTGCCTCAGCCATTGGCCATCAGGACTGAAGGCATGGCAGCAGGGGAATGGGGAATTTGGCGCTCACTCCAGGCACCCCCTGGAGACTGGATGGTACTAGAAGGCGCCCGGCCGGAGGAGAAACCATACAGAGGTCCCTCAGAAGTCTTCTCTCAATGCAGTCCAGAGGTAGCTTGGCCTTCCAACCCATACCAACTGCCAGTCACCAACCCTTGGATGTTCAAGCCAAGGTAGATCCCACTTCTGCTGGCAAGGAGACTCTCAGCATGTCTTGGCTGTCCAGACAAAAACCCACACCAACTCCCCCAGTCAGGGTCACATGACTCAACCTCCGAAGGTTTTCTCCTCCCTTGCTGCAGAACCTGAGACTACACCAAAAGTTATCAGGAGAGAATATAAAAGAATAAATTTTTTTGAGGACACGCAGATGACAATGCACTGAATAATCAATGCTCATGTTTCCATAAATATTCATGGGTTTGCAATACAACTATTTGTTTGGGTTTCTGTCTCACCCCAAATGCAACTGTGTCACCATGTCTAACATCATGTACCGGAGGGGAGGTTTTGGGAGTGAAAGAGAAGTGTGCAAGTGTGTCCTGGAAGGAACGGTCCATGCACAATGCTGTCAAGAGAGGGGAATGTGTGGCTGATGGTGGCGTCCTGCTGGACATGGTGGCTTATGATGATAATGAAATGTTAGTCTTTGCCACAAAAGGATTTGAGTGCAGGAGGAATGAAATCTTGCTTAAATTGTATAGAAACTTAGTTAGAATGAAGGACTACGTGCAGTTTCTGTATTCTTGTCTCAGGATAGATATTATTACCATAGAGGGAATGCAACTAAGGCTGGCCAGGCTTGTTTCAGATGGCAAGACTATCCTTTGAAGAGAGATTAGGCAAACTGGGCCAGTATTATCTTGAGTTTCAAAGAATGGGAGGTGATCTTATTTTGGGTGGTACTGCTGTCTCACGGCACCAGGGTCAAGGGTTCGATTCCAGCTTTGGATGACCATCTGTGTCGAGTTTGCATATTTCTCTGGGTGCTCTGGTTTCCTCCCACAGTCCAAAGGTGTGCAGGTAAATGAGGGTTTACGGGGATAGAGTGGGTTTGGGTGGGATGCTGTTCAGAGGGCTGGTGCAGACTCGCTGGGCTGAATGGCCTCTACCTGCATTGTGGGTATTCTGTGATTCTATGATAACATCAGTTTGTACCATGGAACAATGTGGAAATTGAGAGTCTGCTGTAGAATACAGAAGCAAAATGAACACTTCCCAGGCTCGCTGTCTGAGAACACACTAACCAGACTCCTGACTGTGACCAATCCCTTGGATAGAAACTGCAGGTTGCTCTTAACTTGCTGTGCCAGGATTGACCAAAGCCCATATGGACTTTAAGGGCTACTTCTCCAAAACTTTGAAACATGGTTGTTTGCTTGCTGTTTGCCACATGAGCTGCTGGCACATGTTGCAAGCATGAGACTGATGTAGCACAATGCCACACAGAAAGATACCCTCTCCCTCAGCTGAAGGCTGTTGACCAGCAAGGCAAGGTGTCTGGTCATGTGACTGTGCTAATAAGCAAGGAAGGGACCGTGTTTTAAGGGAGCAAGCGAGCAGCCATGAAATGTAACCTGGCTTATTCAGAGTATGGTACTTGGCCCAGGGCAAAGTTGCTATGCAGCAGCATTTCAATGCTAGTTTCCAGCGCACCCTACAATACACTCCTTAAATGTCCTGCAAGTGGATTAGAGAGGTAACATTAAGATTCTGAGGGGTTGGCAAATATCAGAAATATCTGTGGATAAGGGGTGCATTTGACTAGTGCCCACACATCAAGACTGGAGATGCTGTTGCGTGGTAATCAGCATAAAGGCTGTTCACGGCCAGTGGTGAACTGAAGTTGCGAGGTACCCGCTCTGAATTCCATGTTGAGAATTATGGGTGTCTAGTTTGCTCACAACGGGTGATAGGATGGGAAGCTTCATATTAATGAGGTGAGCTGTGCAGTTAGTAAAAGGTCATTATAAGCAGTAATTCTCCTTAATATGCAACTTGCCATGATCCAGCATGAATCTCGACTCAGTGCCTAGAACATAGTCAAAAGATGCAGCAAGTTGTACATAAAGTCAAAATAAGGCCTGACTGAACTTCTCGTATGATTTTACCACATTTCTCACCATATCCCATGTCATTCAGGCCTCTACAAGATTCAGTCTTTTTATTTTGCTGGGAACCAGCAGCTAATGTAGTCATTGGCAAACAAGAAACCGCAAAATACGTCCTTCAAGACAGTAATCTTTTCTTGAAGTTATCAAATTGAGCAGCTTCCTGTCCATGTAATTTCTGATTTTTAATGCCATGATTATCACCGAGAAGGCATTTGCAAGAATGGCAGAGAAAACTTGTAGAAGTGTGTTGATGGAAGTGCGTAATCTTGGTTAACTCTAATAGTTAGCAGGAATGGGGCAGGAGACATATCATCATCCAGAACTTGTGGAGCACATCTTGTGGAGTATTGGAACAGTCGAGCCAAGGCGATAAATTTCCCACGACAGCCAAATTTCTGCATTAACTTCTACAAGTCCCCATGCTAACTGAGCCAAATTCTTCGTCAGGTCAACAAACATGGGGAAGTCCATTTTCTGTTCTTACCCTTTTTTCTGAAACTGTCTGACTCCAAATACCCTATCAGTCATTTTTTGGCTCTTTATGAAACTGCATGACCTCTGGAAACAGATCCTAATTAAAACATAGCGCTAAGTGGTTGTAGAGCTGTAGAGTCGTAGACTCATACGGCATGGAAACAGACCCTTCGGTCCAACCAGTCCATGCTAACCATAATCCCAATTAAACTTGACCCACCTGCCTGCACTTGGCACATATCTCTCCAAATATTTCTTATCCATGTACTTATCCAAATGCCTTTTAAACTTTAACAGTACCCACGTCCACCACTTCCTCTGGAAGTTCATTCCACACACAAACTACTCTGCGTAAAGAGAGTTGCTCTTCATGTCTTTTTTTTTTTTTAAATCTTTCTGCTCTCACCTTAATAGTATGCCCCCTTGTCTTGAAATCCCCAACCCTAGGGAAAAGATACCTACCATTCATGTTATCTGTACTCTCATGATTTTATGAACTTTTATAAGATCAATGCTCAATGAAAAATGTCCCCGCCTATCCAGCAAGCCCTTATAACTCGAATCCTCTATTCCCAGCAAAATCCTGGTAAATCTTTTCTGAACCATCTCCAGCTTGCTAATATCCTTTAACATGGGGACCAGACTGGACACAGTACTCCAGAAGAGGCCTCATCAATGTCCTATACAATATCAAATGACATACCAACTCCTATACTCAAAAGATCAGAGTAATGAAGGCAAGCATGCTAGATGCCTTCTTAACCACCATGACGACATGGTTCCGTAGGATGCTGGTAAAGATTTTGTCAGCAATGCAGAGAAGTTAGATTTCTCTATGATTGTCATAAGATTGGCTACTTTCTTTCAATTTGTACAGCTGGACAACATCAGGGTAATCAGCTAACTTAGTCCCAGGGAATCATTATTTTGTAATCAGATTATTTAAAATTCCACTAGATGGTGCTGTTAGATTGAAGTACAAAAGAATTCCTGATACACATCCAAATACATTAGAAACAACATTACAAGATCCATGATGGATGACAGGTCAATGCCAACAGACAAAATACTTTCCTCACATTCTATTCTTTGAACTGGATATATTATTCGATTATCAGGAAGCTCTCAAATCATTTAGCCAATATTTGTCAGTCTGGCTCAATGGTGGCACACTTCCTGACTCAGGAGGTGGAAATTGGAATTAGTAGCATCTGCTTGGGTACTTTAAGTGATATCAGGGATAGAAGTGGGATTCTTTGCTTGTGCCCATAGTTCTGCTACACATCATTCAGGCTGTCATCTTGATAATAGACAAAAAAGGTACTTTTGTCCACATCTCAGATCGATTTGGACACATGTATATGCAACTTAGGGGACCAACTCCCAGTCTTGGTTCCTGCTTTAACTTTGATTCACCCGGAGACCGTCAGCACCAGTGCTGACAGCCTCTGGTAAAACTAATGTGAAACTGCATGCAAGTACAGGCAAGCACTTGCTTGCAATAATCAACACCACTTCTAATTTCTATCTCACTCTCACAAATAATGCCCTTACCAGAGTCAACTTGCTCAATTTAAGACTGAAACAAAAGCCTGCCACTTAACTGTCAATCAGCATTAATGGGTGCTTTCTCCGTGCCAATACCTCTGCAAGAGTCCACTTGCCAATCAATCAGCATGCTCTACCCATGCAGTTTAAATGTTGGCGTGCCCCTGAATTAGTATCTTTGTGAAACGGCCTGATGAATGCACATTGAAAAGTTTTGACAATTTTTTAATTCAGCAGTAATAAAAATTGCTTAATTCAGAAGGAAGAGATCAAAGTCAAGCCTACAATTTCAATGTCAAGGCAGAAATCTTCAATAAAATTTCATGACCTAGCATGGCATAGGTGTAAACAGTGTGCTAAGGATCCTTTCTGGTCCAGCATGAGAGACAGGCGTTCGCCCTTCACCAGTTGCTACAGCCTGACCGGCATATCCATTTGAGTAAAATGCTGTTCCCTTATGGCCTGTGGAAAGGACTTCATAAGTGCGCTATGTGGTTCTTTGTAGATACTCAGAAAAGTCATTATTCCATGTTACAAGTGAGGGAACCAGTTCCAAAGCTCCACCATTAAGAATGCATGAGCACTGGAAGGCAATTTCCAGACTTGGTAAGAAAACGTACTTTGGCAAGTTACACTTCCAGTTTCCTCTCCAGTCAGCTTGCTAGTTTAGGTGATGACACCACATTTTTAGGGGATGCAAATATGTATTCAGTCTTCACTCTCTTCCATATGAATGTGCAGAAAGATGAATGACTTGCAACAAAATAACCAAATAGCTATTAAACATGTGGTGGCCCAAGAATGTGTAAACTTAGTTAAGCACAAGCTTGTTCCACCTTCCTTGACAATTTAATAATTAATTCTTCAAAAACAAGAGCGATCTGCAGAGATTATTTCTACTGTTAACTTCTAACTATTACCAAAGAAAACTTACCAAAAAACCACGTTCCTCAATCATGGAACCAACCTGGCACTGCACTTTCACATAAATATGACCTTCAAGAGGAGATGAGAAAAGAACCTACAAAGAACAAAAGAACTGTATATTAGATTTGGTTAATACTTTAATCAGTGCTCTAACTAGATCCAACGATCTGATACACATTACATCAGTCTGTTAATTTATTTTGCATAATTGAGCTGTGATCTGAAAGCTACTAGAAAGTGACAACAGATTTTCATCACACTTTAGTAGACAAGGTCAGAAGTATTTAGCACTGTTTTGATGCATTTTAACTTGCCGGATGAGATTCATAGTCACTGACAAGCACCAAAATATTTGTATTGTGCAGCACACCGAGTGCCACGTGGTATTATAAAGACCTCACAAATAACAGTACAAAAGCTTTAAAATTGCTATAATTCATTTGTTAATTGAGTGGCAATTTAGTCGTACCAAATGCTCTATGTCTGATTATGAGTTAAGGCAGCTGTGTGATTTTATTTATCATAAGCTCTCTACTTCGTGGTTCTTAAGTTACGAATTTCACTATATGCTGCCTTACTTTGATATTTAAGAGTGTGTAGTTCAGACCTCACATTGTAGAA